GTCTCTCTCTCCTCTCTGTCTGTCTCTCTCTCCTCTCTGTCTGTCTCTCTCTCCTCTCTGTCTCTCTCTGTCTCTCCTCTCTGTCTTTGTCTCTCTCTGACTCTCTCTGCCTTTGTCTCTCTGTCTCTGTCTCTCTCTTCTCTCCTTTCCTTTTCTCTCTCTGTCTTTCTGTGTATCTTTGCATATAGGCAGTTCTGACTCATACAAAGCTTCAAGTTTCCACTGAGCTCTTCAAGGCCTCTGGGGAGAGATTCAGTCATATATGACATTAATCTATTTCCCAGGTTGAAAGTGAACTAAAAGTGTTAATATTCCTTAAAATGCTTAAGATACACCCATAAGGTAGAAGAATTACCCATAAGTATGGAACAGAAGCCCAGAGATTATCATTGGGAGTTATTAACCATAATTTCTATTCTTTGAATACAGTCCTGCCTAATTCCTAATGGCCCTGGAGAACAAGAGCCTCTTACATTCTTTACAGACGTATCATAGCTTCAACACAAAGAATCGACGCAGAGCTGATGATATATAGCCTTAAAAGTAATAACCTTGTTGGATTGCCTAAAAGGGCCATAACACAGTCTATGATATGTTTGGTTGGTGGATGGTGGGAATGTAACTAAACCCTGCTTCTAGAAGGCAGAAGCAATTTCAAGGGACATAAATAACCCAAAATGTGCGAAATTTTATCCAGAATGAGATCCAGAGAGGCTGATTTCTTCTCAAAACCTGTTGTGAGAGCAGATGAGACGGAAAGAACACTGGCTTCGGAGTCAGAAGACCTGGGTTCAAGCTGAGCACTGCCATTGCATGGCTTTGGGCAAGTTACTTGCCCTCTTTAGCTCCCAACTGCAAAATGAAAGGGTTGGATTAAATGGCCTTAAAGGTTTCCCTCAGCTCAAAATCTATGAATATACGAACAAAGAGTCTGAAACAAAACTAATTTGTCAGAAAGCTTATAATGATCTAGCCTCATCAAACAAGGTGGTCATAAAGCAACTACATCTGAACTCTTCTCCTTCTGCTTTCAGCACGGTACAAGGAGATAACGTCTGGAAGGGCAGCTGGATTGACTGAACACACACAGAAGGAATTTGTTTTAGAGGTGACTTTTTAAGGCCATCAGGGATTCATTTTTAATATAGTTCAAAGAGGTAAAGATTCAAAAAGGATAGAACAGATCATGAATGGTATTGTTGAAAAATGAAGATGAATTAGGTTAGAAGATATCAGCATCTGCTAATTCATACACCTATTTTCTCATCTCCATAAAATCTTTACAAGAATGGCCTACGGAGGATATGAAAGGACAGGGAGGAGAAGGGGAGGGTGAGATGAGATCAGCCCTGGTGGAAGGAGCACCCACACTGATGAATCCATCAGGGATCCATCAGTGTTCCATCATGGCTCTCACAGAGCTGTGGAACTAAAGAATTAGGAAAGACCAATCTCCTCATTTTACAAATGAGGAAACTGAGGCCCAGAAAGATGAGGCAATAAAGCCTAAGGTTACAACAGTTATAAGAGGATAATCCAGGTCTGTGGACTCCAGAGATTTTTTCATTATCATATCTTGCTACAATCTGCCCCCAAATGGCAAAATGAGTTCATAATGGCTTCCATTCATAAAGAACATTTTATTTTTCTTTATGAGGATCTTGGAGGAAAAAGGGAGAGTTTCTAAGTTGAAGAGGGAACTAGAAACTCAAGATGAGAGGAGCATCTCCTCACCATTGCTATCACCTTAAAGCTCTGGAACAGAGTCAGAGGACCCAGGTTCGGATCTCACCTTTGACCCTTCCTACTTGTGTGTCCTTGGGCAGTCATGTAAGTTCCCTCATCCTCCCCTTCCTCATCTGTAAAAGGAGGAGATTGGACCAGACAACCTTGCAGTTTCTTTTTAGCTCTGGATTTGTCGTCCTAGGATCTTTGTTTAAAATAAGGACCATCATTTGGAAGAAGTACAACCATCACAGTGTACTTATTTATTTTGGCAATTGGGGTTAAGTGAGTTGCCCAGGGTCACACAGTTAGTAAGTGTCAAGTGTTTGGTCTGAGGCCAGATTTGAACTCAAGTCCTCCTGACTCCAGGGCCAGTGCTCTACCCACTGCGCCACCTACCCGCCCCTGTCACAGTATATTTAAAGAGTTGTCTCAAAGTAATGGTCTTTAAAAAAAACCCAAAGGGAAGAACAAAAGATTGGGCAGCCTCATAAATCACAGCTGGTCAAAGCCGTAAGGGGATGTTGGTGCCAAGGGCAAGCTTCATAAAAATAATAACATTAACAATAATAACTAGCATTTACAGAGTCCTTTACATATGTTATATCATTCGAGCCTCATCTCAGCCCTGTGATGTGGGTGCTATTATCATTCCTATTTTACAGCTGAAGAAACTGAGTCTAAGAGAGGTTAAATGACTTGCCTAGAGTCACACAGCTGTTAAGTGTCTGAGGAAGGATTTGAACTCAGGTCTTCCTGACTTCAAGTCTAGTGCTCTATCCACTGTACCATCTAACTGCTTTAAAAGGCATGTGGGGGGTGAAGAAAAGAAAAAGAAAAGAAAAGAAAAAAACCAGGTGGCTCAGTTGACAGAGCAATGGCCCTAGAGTCAGGAGGACCTGAGTTCAAATTTGACCCCAGACACTTATTAGTTGTGTGACCCCGGGCCAGTCACTTAATTCTGATTTCCTCTTTCAAAAAGGTATTCAGGGGCCTCATCCAATCAGTACGTGAACCACTGATGACTCAGTTCTACCCTGACAAATACAAACCCCTAACTGAATGGGTTTACAAATTCAGCTGGGGAGTGTAGGTGGGGAGAGAGACTACAGGGCACAAGGACTCTGTGGGACCCCAGGGACACGGGGAGGCAGCTGGAGATGGGGGTGGGAAGCCACACCATAGGGGAGCTGCTCATTTTCATTATTTCCTCTTGTGAATTAGTTGCTGAGATCTTTTGTTTCCACTTTGCTGAAGGAGTACAGGTGATGTCAATGCCCGCACCCCAGCTGCTTCTGTGCCCTTTGCACTGACTGCTCCCCAAGGGCTTTAGAACCTAAAATAAATTCAAATGATCCTTCAAGAAAATCAGCCTGGGGACAAGTGAGAATGAGAGTCCCAATGTAACTCTGAAGTTCTTAGAATCACCTCATTCCCTGCCATCCACAGCATCGCATGGACGATGCTGGCAGCTTCTGGAGGGCTTAATGGAAATGTTGGTGGGCTGCCACCTTTGGCTGCTTCTGTGGCTGCCTCAGGGTGGCTCAATTCCATCCTGGCAAATACTTAGTCATAACTGAAATGGGTCTAGAAAAGTGAAAGATAGAAAGCTGACCTCAGACAACTTGGCCACTGGAAAAGAAAAATTAAAAAAAAAAAACAAACAAATAACCCAACCCAACCACCCAGTAGGCCACCTTGAATTTAGATGGCCACTCGAAGGATACCATCACCCAAAGCTTCTTCAAGGTCATTTTTCACTTAAGACACATTCTGTCCAACTTTAGGCAGGTGTAAAAAGTGATGAGGCAGGTGAACGCGTGCAAATAGACATATCAGAGACAGTGATTCCAAGGAACAATTGACTCACCGGGAAGAAAGGCTTGGTTTTCCACTTTTGCTGCAGCTGGTATAAATTCCTGGGCCATCATCAAAGAAACTCCCAAGCGCCAACTTCTGCCTGATAGATTCTCTTTCATTTTTCTGTGCCTAAAATTTTGGGAACAGAACCAAAGGTACTGATAAGTGCACCATGCCCGACTTTACTGTTAAGTTTCTTAGGTCTGTAACATTAGAAGGGAATTATGCCTACGTGGCTGACTCGTTACAAAGGCAGCAGAAATGTTTGTGGGAGGCTGAAGTGAAACAGGAGGTGCTATGGCTCGGTGCCCTGGGTTGGCCCCTTCTCTGCAATCAGAAATCTGTCATTTCATTTCATCACATCTCTGGGATTGCTGTCATTACCTTGACCCAGTCTTTGGCAGGAGGGGACAAGGTGATTCTACAGAAGATTTTTCCCAGTCCACCAATGTGCTAGCCCCTTCCCCTCTCAGATTGCACTCCATCTACATTGTACATATCTTGTATGTACCTGGTAATATACACATAAGCTTCCCCATTGTAATGAAAACTCCTTGAAGGCAGGGGCTCTCTCTCTCTCTCTCTCTTTCTCTGTATGTGTGTGTATGTATGTATGTGTGTATATATATATATATATATATATATATTTGTGTACACACACACACACATTTGCCTTTCTTTGTATCTCCAGCACTTACAACAGTACCTGGCACACAGGTGCTTGATAAAATGCTTTTTGATTGATCGTTGAGACTATGAGGTTTTCTCTCTATTTGTCAACTATTCTAAACCAAGTTAAATGGGGAAACAATTCCCTTCAAACCAAGAGGTCTTGGTGTCACTAAAATGCAATCATAGATTTAGATCAGAAAAGGACCCCAGAGCTCATCTAGTCCAATGCCCTCATTTTACAGAGGAGGAAACGGAGACTTGGAATGGTTAAGGTCACACAGACACAAAAAGTGAAGCCAGAATTTAACCAAGTCTTCTGATTCCAAATTCAGTTCCATTTCCATGCCACCATCTTCCTTGTATATATCTGTCGACCCCCTTTCCCTGCCCCAATATTCTCTCCTCTAATCAATCAATCCACATGCATTCATTATGTGCCCATAGCATGCCAGGCCCTTCTGCCACCCTACTGAAAATACAACATGCTCTCCCACCCCCTTCAGAACCCATCCTGATTATGCAAGATTTAGAATGTAGTAAAAGGTTAATAATTAGCATTTTATAGCACTTTATATAACACAACTGATCTGCAATTTGAAGCAGCTAGGTGGCAGAGCGAGTAGAACTGGGCCTGGAGTCAGGAAGACCTGAGTTCAAATTCTGACTCAGGCACTTACTAGCTGGGTGACCCTGGACAAGTCACCTAACCTTGCTCGGTCTCAGTTTCTTCATCTGTAAAATGGGAATGATGATGATGATGATGATGATGATGATAGCACCTACCTCCCAGGGTTTTTGTCAGGCTCAAATTCAGTAATGTATATAAAGTGCTTTGCAAATCTTAAAGTGCTCTATAATTGCTAGCTATTATTATTATTTTAATTAAGGCTGTTGGATTTGCTTTGTGCACACGCTCCATCCTTTTTTAGGGAAAAAAGTCAGATTGGGCAGGAAAAAGGTTGTAAAATTAGACTGGAGGTGATTTACAGATATTTACCACATTCTTCCTTTCTCCTATGGAATCCCACCAAGACAAAAACCTCCAAAATATAGACAAAAGGAAGTGTTCATCAAGAAACAGAAGGAATCCTGGAAGGAGAGCAGCTATGAGATCTTGGCTTTCCACGCTATGTGTTTTTTTTCTTTTTCTTTTCTTTTTTTTTTTTTCTGCCTTTCAGTAAGGCAATCAGAGTTAAGTGACTTGCCCTGGGTCATACAGCTAGTAAGTGTCATGTGTCTGAAGTCGGATTTGAACTCAGGTCCTTCTGATTCCAAGGCCGGAGCTCTATTCACTGCGCCACCTGGCTGCCCCCTTCCCATGCTATGTTGTTGGATATTGCATCAATTTTGAATTCAGGGAAGGGAAGGTGCTCATTATATCACGTTACAGAGTCAGAACCACAGATCATAGAATGACAATGTTAGAAGGAACCTTTGGTGTCATGTAGTCCTTATTTTCTTGAGGAAAAACCTGAGGGCCAGAGAGGTCAAGTCATTTGACCAAGGTCACACAGCCAGCCAGGGCTAAGGAGGGACCCAGAACCTTCTGGTTTCCACACAGTGTCTTCAGCACTTCTGCAATGACCAGCTCCTAGCTCTGCTTTCTTATGGTCTCACAGTCCAGAGTTAGAACTAGATGTGGACTTTGGAGATTATATGACCTAAAGCTATTCCCTTTTACAAATGAGGTGGCTGAATCCCAAAGAAGTGAAACCACTTGTCCAAGTTCATGCGGGTTGTCAAGGAGCAGCACTGGGATTCATACCCAGGTCTGCTGAATCCAAGTGGGGAATGGAGAGAGAGTTCAAACCTATGATTTCATCAAGGTGGGTCACTCTAGGCATTTGATGTCCTTCTAGCAGTATAAATCAATGAGTGGCTGGGGCACTGAGGAGTTGCTGGGGCACCCACAGTCCCTGAGCCAGTAGGCGGCATTGGTAGGATTTGAGCCCAGGGCTTTCCGATTCCAAGTCTGGAGTCTACCCACTAGAGCAGGCTGCTCCTCTCTGGATTTCATAGAACTACTCTTTTTCCTTTTGGCATATATCCAGAGTGCAAGGGGAATTGTATTACTTGTTCTTTTGTGTACTGTACATATAGCTAAATGATTATTGTTGCATATACAATCATAATGCTGACTTTATGGATTTATTACTAGAACTTTCTAGGGAAGCCCCAAGCCCTTAAAAAGCAACTAAAAGCTTGTAGAGGTAAATAAGGATAATTTTAATTTTATTACTAACCTTTTCAACTTTGTATGTATACGTTTCAAGAGTGTAGGCCTGATCACAGGAGGCCATCTTGGCATAACAGAATTAAGTATCTCTTGAAATTAAAATCTCCAAGATAATGCAATTTATTAAAAATGCCAAATTGAACCAACTTCATTCATCAATGTCCCTCCTGGTAGGTCTATTTCCCATTCTATATAAAAGTAGTGGGAAAACTCACCAAATTTCATATGAAAACCAAGCCTAAAGTCCTTAAGGTCTGAAAACTGGATCACTGAAGTAGACTTTCAAAGAAATACAGTGAAGAACTCTGATCAGTACAGGGACCAATCATGTCTGATATGAAGTGTGTCTCCTGCCTCCTTTCAGAGAGGTGGTGGCCCATGTGGGTGTAATGAGGCATACATTGCCAGATGTAGACAGTATATCAATTTGTTGTACCTCTTTGTTACAAGGGAGAGTTCCTTACAGAAGGAGAGTAACTAGAACTCTGTATGTGTGTGTGTGTGTTTAAAAGGTATCAATTTATTCTTCTTTAATCAATCACAAAGTATCAGTACAATATGTTTTCCACTACCCTATTTACCTCAGTGTAAAAGGCCAAATAAATATTTGTCAAATATTGTTAGATATTTGTTAAATACTTGTTACATATTAAATGAATATTTGTCAAATAAAAAAGAAATGCAATGCATAAGGACATATTTGGCACTGATGGTATGGCTAAGGTCAACATCCTTACTGAAAAAGCAGGCTAAAATTTTCTAGAAGGTAAAGCATCAAGACAAAACAAGATGCAGGAATACACTTTTGATTTCATAACTGGGAAGAGTTAGCCTGACAGTGGGAATGGAGTGAGGGGGCAGATTTCTACATTTTAATTTACACTTTAATTAAAATAACACAAGTGGTCCCCTCAAAGTTAACATTTGGCTTCATTCTCTCACTCTCTTCACCCGCTGAGAGGTAAAGCAGTAGAGTAGAAAGGACATCAGTCTTGAAGTTATGAGGGCCTGGGTTCCAACTGCACATTTGAAGCTTAGCTGCATGGTGCATGGCAAGTCACCTTCCTTTTATGAGCTTCCATTTTCCCCTCCATAGAATAGGCATAATAATGGCACCCACTTCATTAGCTTGTCAGGAGCAATTGGGGGAATGTATGGAAAGCGTTCTGTCAAGTGTTGTATAAATGCTAAAATCCCACACAAGTGGTAGCTGTTTATTATTACGATCATTATTTCTGTTGTTGTTGTTATCACCACTACTGCTCTAAGGTCATTTTCTGAGTATAGATGCTTATCACTAAAAACATTGCACCACCTCAAAGATCTGTGATCTTGTGAAGATGGGAATTCTCTTGCCTGGCACATTTTGTAACCCTTAAGTTAATGGATAACTTAGAAATGACAGAAGCTTTAAAAAACAAGACCAAAACACAAAACGTAGCCCAATACCTACTCCTCAAGGCCAGACAAGATTCATTCACCTTCACAGCACCCACATCTTATATTTCCACCAAGCTGATTTCTTCCAGCCTTTGAGACCACATCCTTACATTCTCATGTGCACCTAGTTCTTTGTCGGGTGCTTTTTTCTATGGAAAACATTAGCCAACTCTCTCAATAAGGATGTTGACCACATCTATAAGACCAATGCCAAATATATCATTATACATTGTATTTTTTTTTCTTAGTCAATTCCACTGGGGGCAAATAAAATTCCGAGCATTTCAAATAATGGGCTATTGCCAAACTTAGCATCACTTATTAGGAATCCAATCAATGTGGCATTCGGGGCTAGATGATTTTATTTTTTTTCCTGAGTGAGCCAATGGGTATCTATATGCATTTGTAAGTTTCAAAGCCCTATTGTTTTCCCAGGAATAAAGTCCTTTGGGTTCTTCCCTCCTCTGACCTCGTAAGCCCAAATCAATGAGGCAGGGAGAGGAACAGCTGCACATCGCCTGTGTATCTCCCCAGCCCATGAGGAGGTTTGGCAAATCTATCTCTTTTGGTCGTGGCTGGAACAAGCTACGCAAAATCAGCTTTTGGAAATACTGAAAATCCGCATGGCGGCATCTTCGCCATGTGGCTGGTGGTGATTATGAAAAGCAAAGAATCATCGATTCCCAGATTGAAAGCTGGAAGGAGCCTCCGAGGCTGGCTAATTCAACCCCCTCATTTAGAGCTCAGCAAACTGAGGCCAGGAGAGGCTAATGAGTCCCTC